AATATTTATTTATACATTTTCTCCACAATTTCGTAAACATTTTTTTCACGTTTTTTGAAAAAATAAAATATTTCTCTAATTTTCTCTATGTAAGACTCATTTGACAATTTTCATTATCAATTTTTTCTATACTAATTTTTATCAAATACAAGAAATTATTAATTTAATAAAATTCAATCAAAATTTTATTATAAAACTTATTAATACAAAAAAAAAAGCTTATTAATATTTTATGTAATATTTATCTATTTTTATATAATATTTTTATTACTTTTTTAATAAAAATTTCTCTAATAAAGTTAACATCCTAATCAAACAAAGCTGGGAAGTTTCCCACAACCAGTTAGTTACCCCTTAAAATAAAAAAATAAAAAAAAAAATAAAAAAAGAGAGGAAAGAAAAGTGAAAAAAGAAGGTAGGTGAGGTTTCCCAAGGTTTTTTTTTTTTTTTTTCCGTTTTTTTCCGGCAGCCAAACACAGCCCAGCTACATAATTCCAGCCAAACTGCCAAGCACATCCCACCAAACCTCCCACCAACCCCATAAAGCCATCTTCCCACCAAATTAAATCCCAGATCTTCCACTCAATTCAACATCACAATGGCGTCTTCAATCGCCTCCAAGCTGTTCCTCGGCGCTCCAACCACCAACGGTTCCACCTCCCGTATCGGTTCTCCGGCCTCTGATATCCGGAAGCTTCCCTCCTCCACTCTTCAGCTCCCTGTCCGACCACGATCAAAGAAACTCCGTAAGTCTCTTATGCATCTAATCCTTACCTTCTCTTCCTCATATTTGATCCAAAATGTTTTTATTGTTTTCAATTGAGTTCACTTTTATTTGACCCTCTATACAGTTAAATAGTATCCGTTTGACTTCATTTTTCGTTTGTTTTCTCCTCTTTTTGTATCAATCCATGTCAATAATTCAACACGAGTGACAATTAGATGTTTCTTACTTGCTACCTGTAAAAGTCAGTACCTTTCTTGGCCAAAAAAAAAAAAAAAAGTGAGCACCTTTGAGTGGTGTGATTCTTTCTAAGTCTTTCTGAACGGTACTTTAGCTCAAAATCCGAAGCTAATAATGGGTTTTCTTTCTAATGGGCAGTAGTTTGGATGAAAGTTGTTTGCTAACTTGTTGTAACTTTGTACGTTGCATTTTTATATTTGTTATATGCTCATTCTGAACATGTTGTAAGCTTAAGGTGCTTGTATAAGATGTAAGAATCGTTTTTATTATGTTCAATGGTTCATAAAACAAACAAATATGATTAATTGGGCTACTTTGAAGTATCGAGTTCTGATAAAGCATTTTGCATAGAAGAAATACAAGCGGCTGGGAACACATTTGGAACTTATTTCCGTGTTACAACATCTGGAGAATCTCATGGAGGTGATGTTGGTTGTACAATTGATGGGTGCCCTCCAAGGCTTCCCCTTTCTGAATCTGATTTACAAACTGATCTTGACCGAAGGTACTGAACTATGAGAAATTATCATTATCATTTTTTATCTCAAAATTTTCTATTTTTCATAGATATGAAAATTCACATGCCCAATTGTGCTAAATTTATGTTGCATGATCAGGTTGCTACTCTTGTGTGCTTAGCTTATCAATGATTGTTAATAATATGGAATAGTATTGATACTTCCTTTCATATAATTTGTTTTCTCATTTCCTTTAATGTGAATTTATCCGTCATTTTTGGATTAACAATCAGATTTATTGTTATAGGAGGCCTGGCCAAAGCAGAATTACTACCCCCAGAAAAGAGACTGATACATGCCAAATAACTTCAGGAATTTATGAAGGTTAAACCTTTTTTAGTACAAGCAGCTGTGGACATTTTCTTCATATTCTTCTTTTAGTGATCCAATTGTCTCTCCTCATAATCTACAGGGTTGACTACTGGAACGCCAATTAAAGTAACTGTACCAAATACTGATCAGAGAGGACATGTGAGTATCAATTATAACTGGATCTTTCTTAATTAATGAAATTATATGAACAACTCAACAGCAGCAATGAATTTAGTAAATAATTAGGAGTCCAATCTGTAAATCTAGCTATTTATTTTAGTTTAGGATACATTATTTGAACATGTCTAATGTTATGTGATTGTAACATGTGAAATGTAAGTTTTCAAGACATAAATATGAATGAGAAAAATGTGAGATGTTTGCAGTTCATTTTGTCCCTACGTTGTGTGGAAGCCTTCAATAATCATATCATTCTGTCTTCAGGATTACAAGGAGATGTCAATAGCTTATAGACCTTCTCATGCAGATGCAACTTATGACATGAAATATGGTATTAGAGCAGTGCAGGTAATCCCTTCTGCATTGTCATTCAAGATGGATTTACCCTCATTTTAGGAAATTATTTGGACCCATTTATCTGAAGTCAATTTATAATTGAAGGGTGGTGGTAGATCTTCAGCAAGAGAAACCATTGGAAGAGTTGCAGCTGGAGCTGTTGCTAAGAAAATTCTCAAGCAATATGCGGGGACTGAGGTACATGTCAAGTTGGGGATTGATCATTGTGTCCTTTTATGTTGTTTTTATGTGTTCGATTAATTTGATCAATGCTTCTGTTTCCTGAAATTAATTATGTGATAATGCATGAAACTTTGTGCTGTTTAATAGTAGTAATATTCTGTTTTTGCTCCAAGTCAAAAACCAAAAAAAAATGATAAATGTGATCAAATGGATCAAGATTACATCAGAATTTAAGCCCATGTATTATGGGTAGAACCTGACTTCTCTGTTCTATATTGCTTTTAAAACAGTGAGCTCTCTATCTTTTCTATCGTTCTTTTGACTAGAACAAATTCAAATCCTCTATAATATGGCTTTAAGTATACTTATGCATTAAATGCATAGGGAACAGTATGATCCCACCTTTTATCATTGAAAATTGTTTTGTGAGTCCTTTAAAAATGTTTGCTTGGTCTGTAGGTCATTGCATATGTTTCGCAAGTTCACAATGTCGAACTTCCAGAGGGTGTTGTTGACCACGAGACTCTGACCCTTGAGGAGGTATGCAACTCAACTATAGCAGGCATAGTTTAGAAAGGGTAATTTAAATGTCAAGTTGTTATACGGTACCTCATCCCTTAGGACTTTTAGTCTACTACTTTATTCCTTCTGTTACTGATATCTAATGGTCATTGCACTACTAAGTAATGTATTTGGCTGTTCTAGCTTTTTCCTAATTTTATCCATGCAATTTGCTCCATTTTCATTCCTACTTACTTGAACTTGATCATTCTCTAATTATTTTTAAAACAAATATTACCAGATAGAGAGTAACATCGTTAGGTGTCCTGATCCTGAATATGCTGAGAAGATGATTGCTGCTATTGATGTTATACGAGTGAGAGGGGATTCTATTGGAGGTGTTGTCACATGTATAGTGAGGAATGCTCCTCCTGTAGGCTCTCTTTCTCTGCCATGGGCTTGTGCCAAGCAATTGTACCTTAACCTTCATTGAAATATTTCATTTGTAGTATTTCAGTTTCCTAAAAATCTCTATTTATATCATTTGCATCATAGGGTCTTGGTTCACCAGTCTTCGATAAACTTGAAGCTGAGCTTGCCAAAGCTGTAATGTCATTACCTGCAACAAAAGGCTTTGAATTTGGCAGTGGATTTAAAGGTTAAGAAACCTCTACAAGCTACAGCACTTCATGTTGCGTTTTCCTAAAATTTTAAACTTTGGGAGATGGGTATTTGATTGCTTGAATGGTGGTGCTTGCATGATTAGTTTTTGTTTATTAGTGTTCTAAATTTGTTCTGATTGCTGCCAACAAAAATTATTGCAGGTACTTTTTTGACTGGCAGTGAACATAATGACGAGTTCTATGTAGATGAACTTGGAAGAATCAGGACAAGAACAAACCGCTCTGGTGGCATACAGGTATCTGTCTCTTCCCCTCTCTCCTGCAACACTTGAACCCCAGGATTTCCAGAGAATTAGAGCCAGGCCTCCCACACTGAGCAAGAAAGAGAGATACTTCAATTTCTTGTTGTTGGGCTAAATTGATGGGATTTCCCTATTTAATATCGGATATTATAAGATTTTGATGTTGACTTTGCAGGGGGGGATTTCCAATGGGGAAATTATAAACATGAGAGTAGCTTTCAAGCCAACAGCGACCATTGGAGTAAGTTTGATCTGTTTTTGCTTACTCATTCCATTTTAAGTTGCATCCTGGTATCGTGCACTATATTTTTTGGTATTTATCTTGATTTTTTGATACTTGGTACAGAGGAAGCAAAATACCGTCACCAGAGAAAAAAAAGAGATAGAATTAATTGCTCGTGGTCGCCATGATCCCTGTGTTGTCCCACGGGGTATTCTCCATATCACTGATTTATTCTTAAACATCAGTTATATCTTGCTTTATTTGCATTAATGATTTTTATTATTTTTATTACTTGTCCTATATAGTTCTTTACAATTTATAACCTGCTGCAAAGTGGAAATGACTGTGTCGCTAAACTAATGCACCTATAACTTTTCAAAGCTAGTTAGTCCTTGAGTTCTACAATATAATGGTCTTCATCCATTTTGAAACTATACCATGTATATTAAGTTGGCACCTTTCTTCTCTTTTGCTTTCCTTCTTTTGAAACAAGCTCTCACTAAAAGCTGTGGGTGTATTTCTGTTTGGTTTGGTGATTGTAGCCGTACCAATGGTAGAAGCCATGGTAGCCCTGGTGCTTGTTGACCAATTAATGGCACACCATGCACAATGTAATCTGTTCCCAGTCAACCCTGACTTGCAAGAACCTGTGAAGGTGCCAAGGCATTCTCCAGCAGAGATTCAGAGTTGAATGATAGTGAAGTGGATGTGATAACTTCACCATTTGTCTGTCCACTCAAATTTTACTGGCTGTAAGTCATGTATGTGTTATTTTACCTGAGAGGCATCTAGTTTTTGGTGCAGCCAAGAAGTCTAAAAGTTTAGCAGCCTTCTGTTTCACTTATGTGCGTTTTCCTTTTAATTTCCAAGTACCGTATGTTTGGCTATTGCCTCGTCAGATTCAATTGAACATCAATAAATCAGTGGAAGAATAATGAATGACTTTTGACGATCTCTCTTTACTTTGTAATTATCATGTACTTTCATATTCTCTCCCCAGGAAGGATGTAGGTTCTTTAAGATGCATGGGATAATGTAGCTTTCAGAAGTGGGAAATTGTTGTTTCTTGCATTGCTCAAGGTTAACTCGACTCATCCATATCCACCCAATGACCTTCTGTATCCTCTTAATGTGATGAGTCCATTTTCCTACTTTCTGAAAATTAAATTGTTGTGATTGAATGCGAGTGTCTCGTCAGTTCTGGCGTGAATTGTACCCCACTCTTTGACTAAATGTAAATTGTTATCAATTCTAGACCGACATGAATACCCACCCCACAAAATTCCAACCATATGAACACCATTCACTCACAGTAGCTAAATTTTGTCTTTGCCTTGATCTGTTCGACATCTTGTCGCATCATTGGACCACAAGAACGACCACTCGTTTCAACCGGCCTTTTTGAATCTTCAACATGAACAGAATCTACCTCTTTCTTTCATTTTCCATGGAACAGAGAAAGGCTAATCAGGGTTTGGGACAAAAAAGCAAAATCAAATGCTAAAACCCAAATTCTTAAAAACCCTTGTCTAAGTAACCTTTTGTTAGGCTTATCTTCCTAATTTCAGGTTTCAACAGAAAGCATAGGATCCAATAGTTTGTTAAACCTTTGGCTTAACACCAAAATTTATCTGACCCTCTTCCTAAAAACTTCAAGTTAGTTCAAAAACGATACCAACCCAGATCGATTTAACAGAAACCAGATTTTGAACAACTCAGTCCTCAACCTCCCCAAAATAGTGGGGGCAAGTTAATTTCCAGGTTGTTGAAATCTGTCTATTTCATACGTTGAAGACAGAATAGTCTTTGAAATGGCAGATAGGCAGAGCAGCACCAACCTGATTTCCACTGTCAGTCACTGTTTAATAAACCTAAATTAGGGAAGTTATGACATTTAAGCTTGTAGCTCAGTCAGTACAGTACATATTTTTTCATCTGTAAAAGATAGGGTCAAACCTTCTATCACCCAATATCACAACTTTCAATGTCGTGTTGAATTCAAAGTTGTTAAGCAAAGAATTCTCCCTTTTTCTCTAGAAAGTGACAGAAAATGATCCCATCATCTCCAACTTCAACCGATCAAACATGCATCCCTTGAAGTTTTCACAAACTTGCTAAACTAGCTACAAGCTAAAAACAATAGCTAGCAGACACGGCACGGAATGGAAATATCTCACAGTATTCTCATCTCATCCCATTGTCATCCTTTTCAGTTTACATCCTATTATAAATAATCATCTTATCAATTATTCATTTTCTCAGTCATATTAGGTCCCATACATGTAATTCAATTAATGATGCATTTTGCTAAATAATTTCTCATTTTTATCAAAAACAAGATGAGTCATCTTCAACCATATAGCCATGAATACAATTTGTATTTAATAAGTTGTTTTGCTTAGATAGAAAAGATAAAGCAGATTCCATAATAAAGTTAGCTTTGCATATCTCATACCAAACCAACATATGCATGAATAGAAGGATCGGTGACCAAATTAATAATGCATTATATTACAAAGGAAAAGAAGAATTCACATGAAAGATCACCTAACAATTCCCTATTTTCAATGGAGTTACAGAAGATGACAAAAGAAATCTATCGTTTCTTATGAACACTGATAATATCTCCGTAATTTGTATACCTTAAAAGATTATCTCAATTAGTAAGAACTTGAATTTAAGGTAGGAGAAAGACTTAAAAAAAATATATAATAAAGTGTATTTTCAGATATATTAAAAAATTAAGAACTCTTTGTCACGAAAATGACCCGTAGCTGGAATTAGACTTGGCCAATGGTATTGCCCATCCACCTAAAATAATTGTTGTGCCTGGTCCATTTTGCCTTGATTTATTCCAGGGTTCCTAATTCCCATTGCTTTAATTATTTTTTCAAATTAATTTGTGTTCCTATTATTATTTTCTCTCTTTAATGCAGTGGTTAGAAGCAATTTTGGACTAACATGTTCAATGAACAATACGAGTAGGGACATTTTCTACATATGATTGAAATGACAATTCTCTAGTATAGTCTTCTTTTGACACCTTGATATACGATAAGCTTGATTAAAAATTTAGTATAAAGTTAGTTCGTATGGCGATCTTTGCTTTCAAGTTATGTTGGTCTATTTAACTTAGGAGGTAAATCGCATTCTACCCTTCATTAATCTAAAGGTTCCTAAATAGTTTAAACTCTTCCTACAATAATTCTGTCAAAAAAAAGGAGGAGGGGGGGGGGGGGGGGTTTTGAAAGGGGGTTAAAGTTGGGTTAGATAGGGATGGAAAAGGATGCGTAGGGTAGAGTATGGGGTTTTTTTGGGGAAAGCCGAAGAAGATGGATAATCAAACTCACTTAATAGTTAGTAATTTGAGAAAATATTTCATTTAATGATTATATCAAATTAACAATATAATAAGTTAATAACAATTTAACATGTCATTAAAATTAAGATTTATATCGATTCCTTTTCTATCTTGATATGAGTAAATTTAGCTTAAAGTATGTATGAGATCATCTTTGCTTTAAAGCTATGTGAATCTATTTAACTTAAGAAGGGGTAAATTGCATTCCACCCTTGATTAATCCAAAGGGGAAAGAAAGAAGCCATTAAGGCTCCTAAATAGTAGAGATTCTTCCTACAAAAATTTTGTCAAAAAGGGCTAATTTTTGGGTTATATAGGGATGGGAAAGGATCATAGGATAGAATCTAGGGATTTTATGAAAGATAACCAAAATTCATGACTTTAACAGTAACTAGCTCAAGAAGGATTTCTACATACTATATATGCGAGTCTAAGTGAATGGAAAGAGTACCTATTTTATTATTATTCGGTTTAATAGTCAATTTGATTGGTCTGGTATTAAGTAATTCCATGTTATGCTAATGATGTTAGTTATTTAACAAACACAAAATGATGAAGTTTTTGATACCTATTAATTTAAAAATTTTGATTTAGGATCAAGATCAAAATTTTAAATTTATGTATTTCTAAACAACTAACTTTTTAATGTACAAAATAAATAAATAAATAAATAAATGATGAAGTACTTGGTTGATGTTGGGTGAATTTTAAGAAAGCCCGTTTAACAGGATCAATTTGTCACTAATACCATCATGTTTCTATTTGTTGACTAACATTCATGCTTTGATTGGGGCTAATCCCTCCGCAAGTTTCATTTATCATGACTTTATTTGAATTACTATCATTATAATTGACATTTAGGAGATATGAACACTTGTTATTTGCTGACAAGGCCTCGTTCTTTGTGACTAAAATACAAAGGTAAGGCACAAAACTCTGCGCATTTTCCTTGGAGACCAAGAGTTCTAGAAAGCAGATAACGATAAGCTAGTAAGGGTATACATGTTCAATAGGGAAATCTCATCATCCATCTTTAATTAGTACCTACAAATCATTTTGGCTGATAGTCAATATAAGGCAAAAGAAAAAAGCTAAGCGCATGGGGAGTTCAAAAAGCAGCAGCAAACATCAAGCTAGACAGCAATTACAGCCCACCACCAAACTGCCCTTTCACATAGGGAAAATTTACAAAGAAATGAGTTTGCAATTTGCTTGCTCTAAAGAGATACAAGAATGAGAATTGCCTACTTGGTAGAAAAGGGTTTCACATCCTTTCCTCCAATATTAGGAGGCCATACACTTGTCCAATAATCTCAAGAGATGTGGCCAGTTGCTAAGAAAAAGACACCCCACTCTCAAACCTTTTCTATTAAAAAATAACAAAAACATGTAAATAATTTACTAAAAACAAAAGAACAAAGGAGAGACCAAGAACTTTAGCCATTTTTTCCTGGGGTTTCATCATAAGGTAGAGGTACTCCAGCATCCCCAACAAAGTTTTCTTGAGACCAGGGATAAAAAGAAGAGAAAGAAAAAAGAAGCTAGACAATGGAAAACAGTTTCTCCAGGACAATATTTTCATGATTTTAAAAATAAAAAGATTGAACACCTGATTCTAGTTTGAGTTTGACTTTAAAAGGCTGAGGTCTCATTGCTTTCATTCTTGGTTCTCTGGCATTGTAGAGAGGTGGAGTGGACACCACAATGGTCGTCCGCAGGTAGACAAAGTATCCCACTAAGATCTTCCACACTTTTTACAATAGCTGTCTTTTTCACTCAATTCCAGGACCCTCCTTTGCTCATTTTCACTTTCAAAAGCAAAAGCTGCTAATCTAGCTATGCCACTTTTTTTTTTCTTGTATAGTTTTCACCCTGCATTTTTAAGGGAAAAAAATTACTAACAGACCATATGTGGAAAATGCATGGTGAAGAACATAGCAATGGAACACACTCAGAAGAAAATTCAAAGGAACTTAGGCAACAACATGCATGAGTAACGAATAGAATTGCTTCTTTCTTTGTATATTTTTCAGGGGTTAGGGGGTAGTTCACCATCTTTATTTTTCTCTGCTAATGGTAGTCGGGGAAGGAATTGACTCCACCTTTTCCGTTTTTATATACAATACCCGACCACCTTTAACATCTTGTTTTTCTCAAGTGAATTAGGTCCATCAGCCTTTACTTTTAACAATACCAATATATTGGTTTAGGACATCTAACTATTTTATTCCAGTAGAATAGTTCATGGGGTTTCAAACAAAATCATTAAAAGAATGAACATACGGATTGCTTAATAAATAAATATAGTTAATATGATACCTAAAGGTAGCTTGTCCGTTCCGAAGAGAATTCAATCAGGGGAAAAAAGAGATGCTTTAGTAAAGAAAATAAAGAAATGTAAGGACGAACACATTCCAGACCTACCAAATTAATTTAAGTTGCAAAGATGAATCATCAATATATTATAGACTACAATATTTGAAAGGAATAAATACTGGAAAACCAAAGGGAGAAGAAAAGCTTATACAAGAAGAAAAAAGGACAAGGTGCATCATGCATGAAACAACTCTGTCTGTCTGTCTAGATCATTATGGATGCATTTAAGATTGCAAGAATTAGATTCAAAATTACATGAATGCTTTTTATCAATGCATTATGGTCCCCCAATTCAAAGAAGAGAGCCAAGAGTGCAAAAGAATTTTGCTTTTCAAGCATGAAATTATCACAAGAGAAACTCTATTTCCGGACTACGAATTTAACTTTATGACTTTGATTTTCTCTTTAAAAGACCAAAAAAATCCTCTCAAATAACTTTTGGGGTTGCTCCTCTAAATGACTGAAGTATCCTTGATACATCCCAATGAGTGTCGGTAGACAGACAACAAGGAAGACAATCTTCCCCACATCACTATTTTCTCTTGTTTTTTCACTCTAAAGGAAATAGACTATTTGAGCCCTTGTTTTTATGTTAAACTGCTACAACAACAACCGGTTGTTGTAATGTATGGATCTTTTCAATCAAAAACTCAGAGCTAGAAAGAGACAAATTTGAGTCCACAGGCACAAAAACTCACCCAAATATTGTAATCCTGCTCACGATTAAGCACCAAAATTTGGCATTTGGTTAAAATCGTGACCTTTCAACATAAGTTGATTAGAAGAAATTCACATGTAAGTAGACTTAATACAAGTAGGTATGACAGAGATGGCCTGAAGTGTGCTGGTTTGCTGTTAGGTGAAATAATATTTAGTGAAAAGGACATGTCAGAAGTTAAAAAGGTAAAACTAAAATAGAAGTTATGGTCAAATGGGTCACCCTTACTGTATTTTGAGGTCAAGAGAAAAAATGATGCTTCTCATGTTTATGTTCATAAAAACCATCAAAAGTTGCATTCTTTTCCGACATTTAACATGAAAAATCTAGGACATATTATCAGCATCTCCATCACATATATTATAACATGTGTCCCAATATGATCATTTGCAATAATGCAGGGTCCACTAAGATGCTTTCTTTGAACGGGACAATATTAATAGATGAAATTGAAAAATTTTAAGCATGGAAAGGAAAAGCTTACCTTTTGTATTTTTTCTCCCTTAGGTTTGGTAGAAAATAAGTTGAGGGTAGTCTAGTTGGTCTTGGGAGTAGCTTGTTTGAAAGCAACAGTGGGAGCTATTCTGCAACTCCTCCTCTGATGCTCTTGCACAAGTTCTCCTGCAAACCAATCCAGCTTCTCGAAGTTACTCTGCTCTGCAATCCTTTTACCTCCAAAGAGCACCGACTCCACATTTTTCTGCTTTAGCATTTCCTCTGCTATACCTATCAGCATCTTTACATTGCCATGACTGGGGTCAGTATCTACATTGGGGTCGCACCGGCCTAAACTGGACCCATTTGCCTGTCACACCAATATTAATTGGAATAATGATCATGATGAATCAACTTTAACATGTAATTGAGGATGGACTTTAATAAATTTAAACCAAGAAACAAAGCTCAAACATCCTTTAAATGTAGTAAATTAAATAAAAGCGATGGAGGTCATGATGTTTTTGGTTTTCTCCTTCTCGGCACAAGCAAGCAAACAATCAAAACTGCTCTGACAAAATTAAAACCAGCCAAAAAAAGAAAAAAAAAAAGAAGACAGAAAATAGATGTAGCATAAGAAAAAACGAGGGACCAGGTTTTGGTGCATTGACAGCACACATAAAGAAGACCATAATAAAAGTTGAACTAATTACGGGAAGAATGTAATTCCTCTAACCACAGCGGGGACATAAAAATATCCCACAACTCTAATAAATTCCGAATCCCAATTAAAGGGTAACTGACATTTTGAGTCTTTGACCACAAGACTGAAGAGGCTAACTTCATTTCGCTCTAACCAAAACAGCCAGACCACCTTAACTCTCGAGCCTAACAAAACCCAATTTGTTGACCACAAAAGCAGCGCCCAAACGGCTAATTCCCCCAACCCCAAACCTTACATCACGTGCCACCCAATACCACCAAGACCCACTGCCAACAACTCTCAATGCATCTCCTCCTAGTACCCATCATCAAAGATCCCATTAGTACCACATCTTGGCTATAGAGTATAGACCCAAGATCAAATTTATGGTTGTACAAAATTTTATTAAAAACAGTCATTGAATTGTTCTTTTTGATGTAACACTAGTGCAGTTAAAAGGCGAGCAATCTAAGGAATTATCTTTTTGTCGCCTCCTAAAGATCAAACCTTTGATCAATTCCTTGACTAGTTACTAGCCAAGCTACAATCTAATGAATTATGATTGAATGAGCTTACCCCAAAAAAAATGAAAAAAACAATGTATCTTCCATGCTCAATCCTTGTTAGTATGTACCTGAATGCGCACATAATTACTGCTTCTGCACTGCCCAAATGCCATGGCCACAGCCTGGTCCACTGAGTCAGACGAGCTATCACCAGAGATTCGAGCCATGGGTCGAGCCCAATCCTTGGCCTTCCAATTCCTAACCTGCTCGTAGTCATAGTTCACTTCCAGAAGCTGACCGGTGCCTAAAGACAACACCAACAAATCCTCCACGCCCCTGACAAATGGGAACTCCTGTTTATTATGCAACACGTGCGTTATTGCCGCGGCAGTCGGGTTACTCATCGCCAACCCACCGTCGACCGCCACGCACCTTGTCTGCCCATCGACTGACCGCATCGGAACTGGCTCGAACAGACCTGGTTCGGCAGATGTGGCCCGGCAAACCTCCCACAGCCGGAAATCAAAGCTGTCCGTCTCCAAGGCATCCGCCCTCGAGAACAGAAAAGGCGCCGTGCTGGAAAGATCATAGCAAGGAATCAAAACAGGTTTCAGGGTATCTTTCAGGGTTAAATTCCGGTCTTCTTTCGTGAACGCTTCCTTCAACGCCTTTTCTAGACCGGCGGAACTCGACCCTGCCGTACCGGCTTTAAAAATTCTCTTGAGAACCCCGCCTTTTTTGGCGGAACCCGACCCGCCACGGTAGATTCGCTTGCCTTGATCGGCGAGGAACCGCCACGTGTCTGCCGCATTAAAAATCGGACGGTTCTGGTCTTTAGTCGCGAATAGCATGGCCGTGAAGATGCCACCTACTCCGGAGCCGGCGGCGACGTCAAAATAATCCGCGATTCTTGCGTCTGGATTGCCGGACTTTGACTGGAGCGCCTGTTCAAGATAAGCCAAGGCTTTTCCCGAAAGAATCCCCCTCATGCCCCCAGTATCAATACTGAGTATACAGATTTTACCTCTCTGGTTCTTGATTGCAGAGACGCCGTTGCTGTCATTTGTTAGTTGAGGCACCGCTTCAGGCTTCGGTTCCGGCACCGGAGATATCTGTTTAGGGATCCAGAGCTTCTGATCATCATAGCCAAACAGGAACTTGCTCTCCAAGATTGAGAAGATTTCATAGCTCAGCTTATCCGTGTCGATGCTGGGCTCCTGCATTTCCGATGAAGGAATGGAAGCCATTTCTCGATGAATCCTCCTGCTATTGCTTGCAAAAAATCTATTGGATTTTCCTCCAAACACAGATTCTTTACAGCTCTAACATAATCTTTAGAACTTATTAATCCAATTCTGCTTAATGAGCTTCCTTGATGGCAGGATTAAATTTGAGAAACAAGGACATTTACCTCGCCATTAATGCCCATAAATTTTTCTGCAAATGTTTGACGATGAATAATAGCTTCAAGAATTTCGGGTTTTGATGCTCACGCTTCAGCTCCAGGCAGGCGTATTTAGAACATTCCAAAAATAAACACCACCTATTTGACAAGAGAGCTCAACCGACGGAAGAAAACCCGAACCCAAAAACAACTAAAGCCTTTTTCCTTTTGCTTCTTCTTTTCTCTCTGCCCTCTTCGACCCAACTCTCGTTTTCACTTCAGTTTGAACTAAAAACCAAAACCCACCATTCCCTCCACAAGAGAAAAAAAAGGAAGATAGAAAGAAAGGAAAGGAACCCCCTTTTGCTCAATTTAGTTCTCCTATCTTCTTTTGACAGAGCACGCTAAGGCTAAGGTGTATTGCTATTGATATATGAAAAAGGTAAACAACACCGAAAACGAAACCCCCAGAAAAGCCAGAAACCGAAGAAGAAGCCAAATTGGAGCAGGGGAGAGGGAGAGGACGAAGAGGAAGAGGAGGCAAGAACACAGCAGCTGCAGAGCATGTCTGTTTATAGCTTTTTGAAAACCACAAAAAAAATTTTTTCTTTTTCCCATTTTTCTCTCTCCTAATTTTATAATATTATATTTTACCGTTTTTGAAATCGGCCGAATGGGTGTCGACGGTTGGTCGTTGGTTCATGATCGGAGTGTGGATATTGGTTCATCACTGTAAGTCCGTGATCAACGCAAACGAAAAATCCATCCTACTGATTTTTAAATTATTATAATTATAATATTATATAATATTTTTAATTTATAATATAATATATTTTTATATTTAATTTTTATACTTAAATTTATTTATTTAATATTATATTATAATTATTATTTTAAGATTTTATGTAATATTGTAATTAGATAATTGTGATATTGGTTTTTCCCCTTTTGCTAAGTTTCTCCCGCGCTTGTCGTTACCGCGTGGGCCTACGGGCAGTCCCGTCGCGTCGTCGGCGAAGGAACGGAGAGGCAATTTTGTTTTGGACGAAAATACCCTTGATTTAATAGAATTGGTGAAAGTGGGGTCCGTTAATATGTACTTGCTACGTGCTGACGTGTTATGTGGGTCAATGCTAGGTCAGCACCTGCGACCCTGCAGCAACTGTGAATATTTTTACATGGATTTACTTTACTTGTTACTTAAGGAAATATAATAAAATGAGTTAACTGTATTATTATTATTAATTTTTTTTTAACGTATTTTGCAATGGCAGGTTTTGAACTCTGTTAGGGGGAGGAGAATGCACCATGATTATGCCACTAAGTCTTAAGAGCCAGTGTGAGTTAAATGTATTATTTTATAATATAATTTTATAAATAA